TCACTACACCTAAAATTCTACTTTTAAAATCTTGACCCATTTAAACCCTAAATAGCCCTCAATTCAACTATTAGATCAAGCTAAAATTTACAATACATATTAAAAATATCTATAACCATTAATCCACAAAATTTTACTTATAGATTTATTACAAAACTTATTTATAAATAATTTATAATTTTACTTATAAATTATCCAAAATATCAATCATATTTTATTTCACAAAATCCAAATCATCTAAAAAAAAACTTGACTTTGTAAAGCTCTTTCAAAGTCATTACAAATCTAAATCTCCCAAATCCAATGCTCATATAAATTTTATCTAGTCTGCTATGAAATTTCATTCTCTGACCTTCAAAAGATCCCCCGAGTTGCCATAGGTGCTTGATTTTGTGCCTTGGGGTCTAATTTCGACCTAAGTTGATAACCGGCCTTCCTTGGATATCAAATTTTGTCTTTTTGAGTTAATTTTTATTAAAATCAATTCCTAAATTTATCCTATAAATGCTCATATCTTTTATTTTCTTAATCTATTTTATTTTGCCTTATTTATGGTCAATAAAGTACGTAGAAGTCACTTTTCTAAAAAGATAATATTACTTCTAAAAGTTTTACTACCTTCCTAGCTTTTATCCATATTTTCTATTTTATATTTTAACTTGGCTCTTCTATAATAAGATCCATATTATCTTCTTAACAACATCTACCGCTATTACAGATTGCCTTAAGATATTATATCGAATAGAAGAGTTCAATTTATATCAATATTTTGGAAAATCCTTTCTAAGATTTTAAAGGTGGATATAAAGCTCTCTTTGACTTTTCATCCTAAAATTGATAGAATGGATGAATCAAGTTTTGGAGCAATACTTGAGGTGTACCATGAACTATCATCAAGATGATTGGACAACTTTTTTATCATTAGTAAAATTTACATACAATAATTTGATACATTCTTCTTTTCAACAAATACCTTTCTTTGCCAATTATAATTATCATCCATGACTTAATACTTTTGACTTTTCAAAATTTGATAATCTTACAACAAAAGATTTAGCAAATTGTTTACCAAAGCTATATGCAATAATCAAGGTACACTTAAAGGGAGCTCAATCACAACAAAAAATTAATGCACATGCCTATTATAAGGAACAATTATAATTCAACATGAATGATAAGGTATGATTATTTTGTTGCAATTTCAAGACTACTTATCCTTATGACAAGTTGGACTATTGTAGACTTAGACCTTTTCTTATTAATAAATAAGTCAATCCTATTATTCATCTATTATATCTATCAGAGTCTATGAAGATCCACTCCATATTTCACGTGTCTCTTCTTGAGCCATATAAGACAGTAAATATCTCGAGAAGAAGAAAAATGCTACTTCTTCTTATAAAAGTGGATAATAATCAAGTCTTTAAGGTAGAAGAAGTCTTAGATTTAAGGCAACATTGAAATAGGTTGGAATATCTTGTTCATTAGCACCGATATGATATCAAATAAGAGAGTGGTCTTTCCGCCTTGATATACAACATTATCAATAGCTGAGAGGATCCATCAACCATCTTCAAAAAGAACAAAGATCAAAGTATATAGCAAATATAATTTGCCGCCTCTTATGTTTTATTAATACATGATGATCGCTCCTTGTGGAACTCATCTCTAGAAGGAGAGATAATGTCATGGATATACATACATATTCTAATAAATACCTATATGATTAGATAGAAATAGGTAAAAGTAAATAAATTTTATAATTCCTTCTAGAAAAGCCTCTTAGAAGCTTTATAGATACTGCTTTGACTTTACATATGTTTACAGTTGATTGATAGGTTAGAAACTTGATCAAGAAATTAATCACATATTAATAGCTTGTAAAACAAGCTAACTATGTGACAGAAATAAAGAAAACTTACATTACAAGTTAAGATACATGTCTTGCAAAGTCAACACGTTTTGGAGGTCTTACAAGATATTAGTACATTGCTCCTAGTTGAGATTATATATGAAGGCAAGATTGAAGTCTTCTTCACTGTTATTGATGCCTTTCTAGTCTTTAGTCTTATTTCAAGACTTTCTAGTCTTCTTGTTTTTAACGACAGTCATTTAAATTCAATGATATATGATCGTTAAGTGACTTTTTAAATCTTTTCAATGATACAAGAGTGTAATGAAGATATCTTTCTTCAAGATTCATGTCCTTGACAAGTAGCCATCATAAATAATTAAGAATAATATAAGTGTATAATAAGACCATGTTAATTTATTAATTTATTAATTTATTATTATAATTAGGTATAAAAGTCTCCTTCAATTACTTATGCAATATATTATCTTTATTTTTGTTTTGGCCTACTTCACCCTTTTGTATTTTTATTGAAGTTGAATTGTATGTAATTTGGCTAAAAATAATAGCTAATGTAAAAACCTTCTTATCATAGGCTTTGCTTATAATCTATTAATTTTGGCATATAAAACCATATTAGGTTTAGTATTTAGAAATAAAAAATTCATAAGAATTCAATAATATTTGAAGATAGTTAATAAATCTTTCCAATTTATAGGACAATTTGGTTGAACTTCCAAAGGTTGGAATTTCAACTAAATTATGTCTAAAGTGCTAAGGTTTAGGTAATAATTTTAATTTTAAAGTAGCACCAAAATTTGGAATATAGATACTAATATTTTGTATCTACTTTTTTTTAGTTCTATGTATTCTTAATCTAAATGATTTTGTTGATGGAATATTTCTTTGATTAAACATATAAAACTTTCTTTGTATGCATAAAAATTTGAACTACATTGTATGAAACTTTAAATTTATTTTCTCGAGAAATTTATTTGGATTTCATGTTAGTTATTAGGTAATAAAAATACTTGTTATATTTCTTATATTTATCTTAGTCAACTTTGGCATAAATGCAAAATTTTCTAATTGGCACCAATATATTGTATAAGATTCACAATTTGTAAATGATGATTTAATTCGACTTGTGAATATTATTGTATAAAATTTTAATAAACCTAAATTTGGTCATAGTAGAATTATATAAATTTAGATAGTAATTGTAAAATTTAAAACATCTAATGATTATAGTAAATAGATTTAATAACCTAGAGATGGATATTATGAATTTTTGTTATATTGTATTGATAAATAGTTTTAAAACTAAATATTCCTTTTATACAACTATGAGCCAAATAAAAAAATAATTACTAGCAAAAGATTCAAATAAAATATATATTTTTTTTTAATTTTCTTATTTTATAAAGATAATTTTAGTATGAATTAAAATAATGAAAAATTTAGAAAAACTTATATATAAAAAACTAAAAAATTATTCGATTTTATTTTTAAAAATCTGGTTTAATTGTTTTAAGTAAATATTTTTTCTTGATTTTAATTCTTTTGTTTCATTTATGTGTGATGTACTCACACCATTATTCTAACAAGATTTTAAATATATTAGAAAGAAGAGAGGTAATTTAATATTTTAGAAGAATATTCTTATAAAAAAAACTTAAGCATCAAAATAATATTATTATTTTTGGTTTTAGTTATGTAAATAAAAAATATCTTTAATGTAAAAAAAAGTAATACTAATGATATACTTGCTATGATAGTTTGTTGTATAATAAACATAATTCAAGAAATTAAGCAGAGGCACTAACAAAATATTCATGACATGGCTAATTAATTGCATAAATATATTAGCAAATAATAATGTTAAACAAAAGTATCATACAATTGCAATAATTGTTATTATAATTTGTATACATCAATATGCTATAGAAACATATTTTAAACTAATTTATATAATAATGCTTAAATACGCTCTCAAATTTAAGACACTAGTTCTTCAAAAATCTATTATCTATTTATTTATCTATCTATCTATCTTTAATTTTTGATGAGATGTTATTTTAGAAATTTAAAATAATATATTAATAAAAATATATTAAGTCAATACTTAGACAAAGACTGAATGGCTTAATGAGCTTATCAAAGAATTTAAAATATTATGTTTTTAAAAAATGACTTCATAAAATTTGATTCATGTTTATTTTCAAGTTGAGCATACAAGAGGTATATATCTTAGATGATGTTTTTATAATTTCATGAAGTTGGTCTTTTAAAGTATTTAAAAATAGCTTAAGAGTAGGTTAAAATCTGTGACACCTTTATACTAGACATTTTTCTTTAACCAAAAATAATATTAATTTTAGAGCTGTAGTTTTTATTGATTTGGATTGTTTGATTTATTTGAGTTTTATTTAGTAAGGGGATTTCACAAGTTTATAAACTTGTGTACTAAATACAAAATGATAAGTCTGTATTGCAGTGCAAAAAAATAATATCAAAAGAATTGGTCTACCTACTTCAAGTAAATCTTTTAGTATGTCTGGGGACATTAACTTTGCAGACTACCTGCCGTCCTTTGACTGTTGTTGAAGAAAATCTGACTTGTGATTGGTTTATAAAAAAATATTCTTATACTGTTGGTTGTGTTGGTATTTTAATTTCACTTGATATTGATTATATTTCAAATTGAATATGTTTTTCAGCATGTAGAGTAGGATTGAAATTTTAAAATCACCTACTACAATGATGCAGAGCAGAGCGTGGTGACTCTAATTCTAAAAACTCCATCAGATATATTATCCTTGATTTTTAATTTTTATGTATTCTTTAGTGAATCTTTTTTATACATATTTCACCGTGGTGGAACTACAACAATGTCGGGGATTCTTGAGGTCAGGCGTTCGTCAAAGACCATTGCGAGCTATTACAGCTGGATTCAATCACCTTGTTGGGCAGGGAATCACGTTTGAACAATTAAGTTATATTAAAGTTTTGCTTTGATTTCGTCATTCGGTGAAGCAGTTATGTATTCTTATATTGTATTCTTATATTGGATTCTTGTATTTGCATCCAATTATACCCAGACAATATTAAATCCTTCGAGAACATAGATTAAGTGTCCAATCAGGGGTGAGACAGAAGGAAGATTTTGAGGGTACCCAAGTCAAGCAACCTCAATTTGTTTTCTGAGAGTATCATGTGAAGTTTAGAACAGGGTGGAATGAGCCGAATGTGGCAAACACTGCAGAGGAATTGTTCTGTCACACGCTCGACCAAATGAATCTGTAGAGATTCTATGTCCTTGTTGGTAAGAGTTTCGACACCAATTTCACAAAATGTTGTTTCCTTAGATGTTGGACTGGTGGATGATTGGTTCAAACCTTCGTCGCTACCTATACCTTGAAATTCAGCAATCCGCCACACTGCATCTTCCGAGTTAACTTCTGAAATAGTCGTGTGCTCCACACTGTCAACTTGTCTTCTGAATCAGAATGTAGGATTCAAATTCAACCAATTAAAAGTGAGACACTGCATCTGATTGTGATAGATACCTTCAGTATCTTCACAATAATGACATGGCAGATGGAAGTGCCATGAACATGTACACGAGGGTAGTAAAAGCTGATGAGACAGAGCAACATAGCCTAATGAACTACCATATACTGATGGCAGAAGACATGCCTCACTGGAGACGACTTGCAGTTACAGATTGAAGTTCGCGACACCGACCGTCACTGCTTTGTCGGATACATTGCAGATGTCCATCAAAAGTGGGGTTTGGTCCTGCACAACGAATTGCAACTGTGCATCATGCCTGTAGGAGTGTGTGAGAAGCAATATCATTTACAAATTCTTCACACAAGAAAGAAAATAATCAAAACACACATGCACTCGCAATTTACAATAAATGGCGTGAAGATTTGGAAGTAGGAAGATACCCTACGTTCCCTATAGTAGCAATCTCACACTTAGGTGGAGTATTCGAGTCTGGATAAAGATCTCCGTCACTCACTCTACGGAATCGTACAGAATGAATTTTGAGCTGTATATTGGCCGGCGTCCACGGTTCTATTAGTTCATCATCAGCTAATAGATCCAATCAACGTGCAGAAGAATTTTGGAAAGGAGAAAGCAAAAATTCGCTGTCGCTGTTGCAAGCTCCATATTCCTGCCCGAGAGCAGATTCCATGGCCTTCTCACCAGAGAGGTGTACTTACTGCGATTACTTGAAGATGCTGCGCCGCAGATACTTGAGCTCTGCAATACTCTCCTTGATATCTTCTAATGAACGGTGCTGCTGTTTCTTTGGCGGTTGTTTTTCAGCCTCTCTCGGGTACCAACGCACACAGAGCGCTCGGATGCTGCTCACATCCACCAATACTGGGGAAAATTCCGCCGCTAAAATGGGCATGTATTTCTTTAAGAACTTTAGATCCACGTATATTGAGTTTCCAGCGAGCATGGATTGTCCAGAATTCCCTCTGGTGTGCTTGCGTAGAAACTCCAACACTTCTTGCTGAGCTTGATCTTCTGTTACTGTGCTTGCCCGGACGCTATCCGTCAGCCCGCTTGCAGCGTGGTGTTCTTGACACCATTCCCCCATACCTTGCAGGACATCTTCAGGCTGCGAGATCACTATGACTGGGCCCTCAACTATCTTCTCCAACTTGCCATCTGTTACGATACACGCAATCTCCAATATCCTGTCTTTCTCGATGTCTAGCCCCGACATCTCTAGATCAATCCAAACCAGTGGCATTTGCATGAGCGTCACATCGGCATCCTCTGAGCCCCCTTCTTTCTTCCCCTTTCCTCCACCCTTCTTCTTCAAATAGGCAGGAGTCGTCGCCGCGCTCTTGCTCAGCGTAGCACCTTTGTTCTTCTGAGGGCTTTTCTGCTCCGCCACTTCATCGTCTCTAAATAATGCAAGCGCAGAGAAATAATTCTGGAGTTGATCCATCCCGGAAACCTCAAATGGAGCTTATTTCCCAAACAGCCGTAGGCCACGCACTGACGACTATTCAATCCCTATTTCCTTAGCTGGAAATTCTGCAGGGCAAATTTGCAAAACCCTAAGTCACGTTTCCGCTCAAAAAGCCATCCGCGATCGAAAAGCACACTCCGCTACATGAGAAACCTCACAAACAACTCCACCCCTTAAGAAATTTCAACAACTTACAACGAGCATCTATGAATTTTCGCAATCCACACAAAACACTCTGCTGTTGACTCAGTTTAGCTCCGCCTCAGTAACATCAAAGCCGAATTTCAAAGCACACAGTTGATCGAAAGCTGTGAGCAAACGCCATCAAGCCAAGAAATCGCCACAAGAGATTCCGCACCAAATTCAAGCGGGTAGAAGTGATGCTACAGGTACGACGTCACAACAATCCTTCAAAAGTGTGAAGAAAAGGCCATTTCCACTGAAACACCGTCGAAACAGAAGACTCCTTGTCCCATCATTAAAATCAATCCCACTTGCCCAGTCATCACCAGCACATGGGGGCGAAGTCCCGGAGCATCATCCCCTCTGCACCTAAGTTGGGTCCGTTCAACGCATGCTCCGCGCACAACTGCGCGTGGTTCTTCATTCGTCTCTTGGATGATACAACCCATCAGTGTCCTTTTGTATCCGCGCCGTGTAGGATTTCAAGCACATACATCCTCGTCTCCCTCCTCCCCTTCACTTCCCCTCGCCGCGAAACCCTTCCAGCTGTGTGCTCTCTCCTCCCTTCGAATTGCTTCAATCTGCGCTTACATACATGCCGTGACATCCCTGTGCCGCATACAAGCAACATGAGAGCGGGGAGCCTCTGATAGTAGGTAATCCTTTTGTTTTCTCTGTTTTTTGTTTCCGAGGTTGTTACTATGGCTTTCTGTGTTAGAATGTTGTGCTCGGGGTGATGCTCGGAAGCGATACAGTAGGCTTGATCGGCACAATCAGATTGCATAAGCTTGCTTGCTGTATCCTATGCAAGCGCGTGAACAATCAAGCGTGCTCGGTAAGCCGCAATGGCATCGTGAGCTTTTTCTCAATCCGTTCAGCAACTCATGCCTGGAAAGTTAAAAAGAATGTTGTAGCAGATATTTTTTGCATCCTCTGGATATGGGTCACGCAATCAATGGGGTTGTCATCCTCGGCATGGTCGGTCCCTAGCACTTGGAGACATCTCGCACTCACTGAAAGCCCGATACCTTAACACATCTACGCATGCTTACATGATGTACTGTTGCATCGATGCGCGCGAGTAGCGTATTGGCTGGAGCGTTTCCTTTGATTTTTTCTAAGACAGGGTGCTATCTCAGCTCGGTTGGAGCAAAGATTGAACTGATGTGGTGGGTTGGATAGATTGAAGAGTGAGCGCAGGTATTCGAGGATAGCGTTTTGAAGGTCGAAGTGATTCGTAGATTGCGATGACAACAAGTTTACCGTGACGATTTGAATTAGCAATAGCGTTGCTCGAGTACATCTATCGGTATAGGTATGTACTAAGATTCGATGTGCAGATTCATAATCTTTGCTTTAGGCGGATTGTTTAGTAAGCCAACAATCAAATTTGGAGTTGATTGTTTGTGTACTTAAATATCACGGTGTTGATGTTAGTCGGTGAAATATAGAGTCTGGAAATAATTGTGATCTACACATGAAAAGTTTGATTGATCGAGTGCAACGATGTAGTAGTGAACAATTGTGTTTATATAGCACAATATTTAGATAATATTTGAAGATGTGTAGATTAGTGAAACATAGAAGATTTGGTTGATGGGTGAAGTTTATCTGGGTGAAGTTTATCTGATTGATTATATAGGTTGGATTCTTAATTAAGTTTGTTAAGAGAGTACGGCTTGTAAAGATTTTAGGGTAGAACATAGAATATTTATTTTCTTTGTCTGTGTTGGTTTAAATTGTAATTGTGTCATTAGTATAATGAGTGATCAAGGAAATACAAAGGATTAGAGAAATAAGCTAACAATCATAATAAGAGGAGATTATAATTTCAACATAGTATTAAATCTTATCTTATTGGAAAGTTAATAATATCTACAATTACATGAGAAAAATTTGAGGGAAATCACAATTACAAATTGAATGATTGATTGAAGGAAATTTGAGGCTTTTGAAAACCTTGGAGTATTTGAAAGGCCAAGGAAGTTATCTATTACAATAAAGCATGTTTTAAAACCCAATGACTATCATTTACAACTTAAAATCTATGCATATCTCTTCACAAAGTCTACAATGAAATTTAAAAATCTAAATGAAATTAAAATTAAGGTTTTTGGCCAAATTTAGGTGTGGCTTCACTTTTCACCAAAAGAAAAGAGAGAGAGGGCTTAGAAAACCAAGCTTCTCTTATACCATTGAGCAAAGGCTTGTGGATGGATGGTTGCATCTCTATCCATGATTTTTAAGATCCCTAATCTAGATTTACAATCTTTATTCATCCAAAAGTTAATTTCGTTATTAAGGTTAATGGCTATTGTAAGTAGTCAAAAAAATAATTTTTGGTAAATCTAACTTCAACATTGTATTTAAAACACCTTTTTACGCTAAGATTGACTACTCACATGCCTTTATCTATGTTTAATTGTAATTTTTATGAAAATTTTTAGTAATTATTGTAAAATCCTTTAAAAATAAAAATTCAATTCTCCACTTATGTATTAGAAGAGAAGGTTTTGATCTTATTTTCTTCACTCCATGAGTTGAATCCAATACCACTATTGCATTTGAAAGCCTCTATTGATTTAAAAAAAAACTACTTTGTTGTTTGGATTTGTTGAAGTTAAAGAAAAAATTTCAAAACGGTCATTTCTAAACTTTACTAAAACTTTTAGAGAGTTCTAATTCTAATTCACTCTAAATCATATGAAATGATTGTAGGTGAATTCATAGACTCTCAATTAATCCTTATAGTAATGACTGACAACCTCTAAATTATTAAAATCAACCAAATTACTATTCTAGTTTTGTAATCTTTATCATTTTGGTCTTAATTAACCTAACTCAAGGAATCAGGCTAGGATTTATACCATCAAAGGTTACAATCCTAAAAGTTTAATAAAACCAGATTATACTTATATAAATCTTAATCTAATATGCTCAATTATCATAAAATAAGAAAAAATTAAAAAATAAAATTTTGGAGCATAAATGAGAACTCATACTATATACACTACATCCATTTCTAATGGTGGAAAAACGTCAAGTAGTATTCTTAGCCAATATCAAGAATTCTAAGATGTTTTTGAAAAGAAAAATGTATATATTCTTCCAGAGTATTAATCTTATGATTGTTCAATTGATCTGCAAGAAGGACCTCAACCACCATTCAGACCAATCTATAGCTTATTATAGAATGAATTGGCTGCATTAAAGGAGTACATTGATAAGAACTTAGCATAAAACTTCATATGCTATTCTAAGTTTCTAGCCGAGGCTCTTATCTTATTTATGAAGAAGAAAGATAAATCTCTATGGATGTGTGTAGATTATTGAAGACTCAATAAGACCACCATAAAAAATAGGTGTCATTTTTCTTTGATTTTAGGACTTCTTGATCAACTCAATCAAGCAAAGATCTATACCAAAATAGATCTACGAAGAACATACAACTTAATTCGTATCAAAGAAGTAGATGAATGGAAGACTGCTTTTTAAATTAAGTATGGATATTTTGAATAAAATGTCATGCCTTTTAGATTTCCAAATACACCAGTTACTTTTCAACATCTTATGAATGATTTTTTTTATGACTTTTTAGATGATTTTGTTGTTTGCTATTTAGATGACATTCTAATCTACTCTAAGAATACATAAAAGCATAAACTTCATATTCATCATGTGTTACAGAAACTTAGAGATGTAAGATTATATACCAAGTTTGAAAAGTGTATATTCCACAACACTCAAGTTGACTTTTTAAAGTACAGCATTTTCAACGAAGGCCTTATGATAGATGCCAAGAATGTCCAAACTATCATAGATTAGAAGATTCCAAGAGCAGTACAAGATGTGTAGTTTTTTTTGGACTTTGCTAATTATTATCAAATCTTTATCGAGAACTTTTTTCAAGTTGCAGCTCCATTTATATGTTTGATTTGTAAATACAAACTTGAGTAGAATAAAGAAGCCAAAGCATTCTTTGTTTCTTTGAAGAAGGAATTAACTTCAATACAAACTTTATATCGTGTCAACTTTTTTATAGTATTTTTTATGGAAATAGATGCATCAAACTTTGCCTTTGATGCTGTATTGTCATAAATGGAAACAAATGAGAAATTCCATCCAATATCTTTCCATTCCAAGAAATTTTCAGTAGCTAAGATTAACTATGAGATCCATAACAAAGAACCTCTTGCAATTATGGATTCATTTCAAGAATAGCGTCATTATCTAATAAATCCTTCAAGTTCAATCATAGTATATATAGATTACAAGAATCTCAAATATTTCATATTGGCACATGTTTTGAATTTTCACCAAGTCCATTAGAGCATGTCATTATCAAAATTTGGTTTCAAGATAACACATCAACTTGGAAAATAACAAGGTTTATTAGATGCTCTTTCTAAATGCTCTTATTTTGCACCAAAAAAAGGAGACATGTCTTTTGATCAACAAACGACAATCCTTTTGAAGCCAAAATATTTTCATCTTTAAAGAATGAAACCAACATTGACTGTTCATTTGACCTATGTCAAACAAATCCAATCAAGTATGTTTTTTGATCCTCTAATTCATGATATCAAGAAGCTTTCTTTTAAGTCTAATAATGTTTCAAAGTTTAAATTCAAGAACAACCTTCTTTATTTCAAATGACACCTACATGTTCCAATAGGAGAACCACATTTATGTATTCTTCAAGTATGTCATGACTTTCCAGTAGCAAGACATTTTGGATACAAGAAAACTTTAGAGCTTATATAGAAGGTGGTAAAAGACTTAGTCCTGTCATATGATATTTGTTCAAGATCAAAAACTCCTTGTCATCGACCCTATGGACTTTACCAACCATTGCCTATATCCAAACAACCATGGTCTTCTATTTCTATAGATTTTATTATAGATCTTCTAAGTTCAAATTCATATAACTCTATATTTATAATCATAGATCAATTCACCAAAATGGCACATTTTCTACTATATACAAAATCTATTTCAAGTGAAGAAATAGCTAAGTTTTTCATTGATAATATGTATCACTATGATGGATTGTAAAAGGATATTATATTGGATAGGACAAATCAATTTGTATTAAGATTCTAAAGTATCCTATTCAAAATTCTAAAGGTAGATATGAAACTCTCTTTAACTTTTCATCCTTAAATTGATGGACACATGGAATTAGTAAATCAAATTTTTGAATAGTATTTGAAGTGTACCATCAACTATCATCAAGATGATTAAATAATTCTTTTGCTATTAGTAGAGTTTGCATACAATAATTTAGTACATTCTTCTACTCAATAAATATCTTTTTTTACCAATTATAGTTAACATCTATGACTTGATACTTTTGACTTTTCAAAAGTTAACAATCTTGAGCAAAAGATTTAGCAATTCGTTTATTAGAGCTATATGCAATAATAAAGACATAATTAAAGGAAGCTCAAAAACAGGAAAAGACTAATGTGGATGCCTATTGCAAGTAGCAACCACAATTCAATGCGAGTAACAAGGTATAATTATCTTGTTGCAATATCAAAACTACTTGTTGTTGTGATAAGTTGGACTATCATAGGCTAGGACTTTTTCCTATTTGTAAATAAATCAATCTTGTTGTTTGTCGGTTATATCTATCCATGTTGTATTATATGAAGTTTGGCTTGAGAATGTACCAGGCAATAGATTGTAGAAGATAAAAGAAAAATTACAACAACAAGTCCTAACAACTTTAATTGATTCTTAAATAAATTATAATTAAAAAAATAGCAAATATAATCAAACATCAATCAATTTCAATTAAAATTTCAAAAAAATTATACAAGAATCACAAAGAATTCTTAGAGATCCTTTAAAGAAATCATAATGTAATAACATAGATAATCAAAATTATATATATATATATATATATATATATATATATATATATACTAAAATAAAAATCTTACTAAAAAATTTAAATAAAAATCTTAACTAAATCCTAGTCAAAATTTAATCAAACCTTGCTCAAACTTTAGTCGAATTTTAGTCAAATCTTTATCAAATCTTTTTCAAATTCTTGTCAAATTCTAAATAAGACCTAACCAAATCTTAGACAAATCCTAATCAAATCATAAAAAAATCCTAGTTTGATCTTTAATAAATCATAATCAAATCTTAAATAAATCCTAGATAAATTATAATTAAATCTTAATCAAACTCTAAAAAAATACTAATCAAATCCTAAATAAATCTTAATCAAATCCTAAATAAAATTTAGTCAAATCGTAGACAAATTTTAATCAAATCCTAAAAAAATCCTAATCAAATCCTTATTAAATTCTAATTAAATCCTAGTCAAATCCTAAATAAATCCTAGTCAAATCCTAAACCTAACCAAACCTTAAATCAAATCCAAATCCTAATCCTAATCCTAAATCAAATCCTAAATCAAACCAAAATCTTAATCTTAATTCTAGTCAAATCCTAATCAAATCCTAATCAATCTTAAGTAATTCCTATAATAAATTTAGACCTCAATAACTAATAAATGAATCATCAATATTAACTCAAAATT